AGCGAACGGTGTGCACACCAGAAAATTAATTCACCAGATAATTTAGAGGCGGTTTAGTTTTACCACTCCAGGAGCTGCGAGCTGAGGGACTTTTTTTTTTGTCCCGAGCTCAGCGAGCTGCTGTCTCATGGAGTTTGACACAAAAATTCAAGTCTGTAAGACTAACTGACCTCACCTGCTCCATCCTGCCACTGCGTCACAAGCACAGCTTCATCCAATCAGCGTCTGACAGTCAGTGGATAAAAGMGTCCTCTGAAATCACTCCGGCTGCTTGCCAGCCGAACGTCAACCTTCCACCTCCCCTCCTCCAACCTTCATCTTCTGGCTTCCAAACACTTCTATCACCTTTAACCTCCATCACCAGTGGTCAGGCCCTGGGGGGGAAAAATACTCCCACCCCAAATCTCAAGCAGCTCATCGGAGCTTAGATCATCTCACAGCGCTCGCATCCTCTGCTGGGGTCTGAGCGCCAAACTCTGTCATTCATGCCAATAAATTTAYTTCCTAGTTTCAGTCTGTCTTTGTGTGAGTCTCTCCAGGTTGAAATCACATCGGTGCTGATAACTCCAGCCAGAACASCAAGTGCAGACGGTCAATTTCAGCTAAAAAGGCTCCTGTCCGTCTGTGTCAGGTTCATGAAACCGTCACGTGAAAAAATTATTCTCCCCCGATTGGTTGCTGCTACGCGTCGAGCAGCCAAAGTTCAATTTGTTCAACTCCAGCAGTCGCTGCTTTGGACATGCCGCATGCACGGAAAAAGCTCTGCCGCATCCTACCACTATCTTGCGCGCTGCTCTAAACTGCCAAAATGAGCCGCAACACACTGCGCTGCTCCTAGATGCGCGTCTACCATAGACGTTGCATGTAAACTGGCTGCTTCGGCTGCTCCAAACGCGTTTGGTGGGAACCCAGCTTAACAGCTCAGTTTCGGTTTTTCAGAAAATTTCAGCAAAGTCGTTGAGTACTCAGCAATCTCACTGAATATTTAGAGAAGCTGCAGTTTCTGGTCACAAATGGAGGTCAGAYATTGTTACAGCTTTATAGAGTAAAGATATAGGAATGTCAGGATGACCCTTTCAACATCTCTTCTTAAAGTTTCTCCTTTTTAAATGAATCACAGGTCAAACAAGGACAGTCTCTTGTCTTACAGTGACGCTGGTTTGAACATCATACAGGTCCAGGTTTCTGATGATGTAGTCCACAGCTGTGTCCTCCAGACTCTGTGGACCAAAGTGGGATGTGGACAGAGTCTTTCTCACACGCAGCTTGAACTGACGGTAAGCAAGTTTAGCTGTTTGGAAGGATTCCTGAAACAGAGAAAACACACTTTTTTGTAGCAACCCTGACCTGTAAAAACACCAACACTGACTCTTTACATGTTGTCCTACCACGACAGCGATGCAGATGATTTTCTGGACCATGTCTAGGTGGGTGATGTAGCGTCGCAGGATGCTCTGAGCCTCCAGGCGCTCCACAGCATACAGCTCACTGAAACGTGACACGAGGCGTGCTTGGCGTGACGACTGAGTGAGCTGGGCTCTGGAGGGCGACACGCTCCTCAGAGGGCTGGACGAGCTGTTGAGCTGGGGCAAGGGGCTCGGAGAGCGGCTTCGCGCCAACCTGAGGAGTGAACGTAAAGCATGTAAAGCTGCATGGACAGGAAGTGTCTGCACC